TTCTCCCGTACAAGATGACAATCAATTTCTATATGTTTTGTTCGCTCGTGAAAAACTGGGTTTGAAGCAATCTGTAGTGCCGCTTGATTGTCACAATATAGATTGGCAGGATGTCAGTGTTGGATGCCCAAATCTTGTAGGATGTATTTCAACCAAGTAATCTGACAATAAGTTGCAGCCATAGATCGATACTCAGCTTCTGCGCTAGATCGTGATATCGTAGTTTGCTTCTTGCTTTTCCAGGAAATTAATGAACTTCCAAGAAATATACAATACCCAGTGACAGATCGTCGAGTATTATGACATCTAGCCCAATCCGCATCACAAAATGCATTTAATTGGATTGAACTATCTGTAGGAAGAAAAATTCCTTGACCTGGTGTTTGCTTCACATAACGTAATACACGATAAGCTGCTTCTTGGTGTGGGACTCGTGGTTTGTCCATAAATTGGCTTAGAACATGTACCGCATATGTCAAATCAGGTCGTGTGATAGTCAAGTAAATTAGTCGTCCAACAAGCCTTCGATATGAAGAAGGATCACTAATATAGTCCCCATCAAACTTACCAAGGGACAAGTTTTGCTCCATGGGAAAAGAGATTGGTTTGGCCCCTAGATAACCAACATCTTCGAGAATTTCGAGAGCATACTTTCGTTGTGAAAGAACAATGCCTTTGTTGGATCGTGCAACTTTTATTCCAAGAAAATATTTCAATTGCCCAAGGTCCTTCAATTTAAATTGATCTCTTAAAAATGACTTGGTATCTTCAATGTCTTGTAGATTATTTCCTACAAGGATGACGTCATTTACATAAATAAGGAGAGTAGTGAATTTACCATCTTGGGATCGGACGAACAAGGAATAGTCGGCCTTTGATTGTTTGAAGTTGGCTCGTTTGAGGGCAGTGGTGAGTTTGATAAACCATTGGCGAGATGCTTGTTTGAGACCATACAATGATTTGTGAAGCTTGCAAACTCTTGTCTCCCCCTTTCGTCCGAAATCAGGAGGTAAAGTCATGTAGACATCTTCATCAAGATCTCCATGCAAGAAAGCATTGTTGACGTCAAGTTGGTGAAGGTGCTAATGTTGGGTTAAGGCCACAGTAAGGAGGAGGTGAACAGTCACAAGCTTTGCAACTGGAGCAAAGATCTCACTGTAATATAATCCTTCTATTTGGTTGTATCCTTTAGCTACCAACCTGGCCTTATAGCGTTCGACAGTACCATCGAGTTTGAATTTGATCTTGTATACCCATTTGCAGCCATTTGGCTTCTTTCCTGGAGGAAGTGTCTGAAGAGACCATATTCCATTAGCCT